ACAAATATTGGTGTATTTAAAGCTTTTCTTCAACAAATGAATGGCTTTACCACAGGCACAGTAATTGTGCTGTTTACAAAGTCATCACAGGTTATATTTAAGAGCGTGATTTCATCGTGCAGCAGAGGCAGTGTGGTTGGGTGGCTGTGCAGGATCAAGGGCAGGATTTCGCCCCCTTCTGTCTCTGGGACTGTACTGATAACTTCATCCAAAGATTACTTCAGGTGTCCACAGCTGAGGTCACTGAGGGTGCTGAGGTCCAGGTGGACACTGAGCACAGAAATTCCCCAGTCCTGACATCCTTGCCGGGCGAGGGAGGTGCCAACCTCTCTCCCCAGTAAGTAAGCTGAGTCCCCAGAGTGGAGCAGCCCCCATTCAGGACCCGGGGGTGAGGGGGTTGTGAGCCAGGCCCGGAGCAGTGCCCAGGCTGCCTGACCCCTTGTGCTGTTGGGGAATGTGGTTCGCCTGCCCCTCCGAGGAGAGCGGACTGGCACTTTCCCAACAGGTGCCGTTAAGTGAAGGTGGCTTACCTGGCTCTGGGCGTCTCCTCCACTGAGGCCCTGGAGAGAGAAAGGGACCAAGGCCAGAGTGTCCCCAGATAACGTCTAAATGCCACTGCACGCAGAGAACTGGAGCCGTCAGCACCCCCACCTCCTCGCCAAGTGATCACAAGCAGGGACCTTCTTTGACCACAGAAGAAAGCGCGCCCCTTGTGTGTGCCTGACCCTGGCTGTCTGAAAGTGCCCTGTGTGTCTCTCTGACCTCAGCCTCTCAGGGTAGCGGTATTACGTCATGGGGGCCACAGACGCAAGAAAAAGGAGCTCAGGGAGAAGGCAGAATGCATTTATTTCTTAGCCATTCTGAAGGCCTGGCTCCATCTTGGAAGTTCTGTGACTTTGGCCAAGTGTCTTGACTGCTGAGGATCTCACTTTCTTCATCTGTAAAATGAGGAGATTGTACCATATAAGAGGCTTAAAAAATGTTTGTTTAGAGACTTTTCCACATCACCTGAATATGTAAAACTGAGAAATGTAGAGTCGTTCCTGTTCAAGGAGGGTCTAGAGCCTTATGCTTTGGTCCTCTGTACCCGCACACCCTCCCGTGTCGCCCATGAGGATACCCCACATCCTCCAGTGTCCCCCCATAAGGATACCTCCACAAAATCCTGGGGATCCAAAGAACATAGTTTGATAAATAAGTCTTGGGCTCTAGGGCCCACCCAGAGATAACATTCTTGGACTCAGTGACCGGTCAAGAAAGGCACTGGCGTAGCCCCTTGTTCCCTCACACTGGGCTGGCCACTAGTCTCGTGAGTATCTGGGTTGTGCCTGTGTAGCCTCAGGCGTCGCCAGAGCAGGATGTAGGATGTGGCGTGGCTGGGTGCTTCTTGGAAGAGCTCACACACCCTGTGAGCGTCGGGAGTCTACCTGCCAACTGCTGAGATGAACCAGTAATCCTCTCGGAGAGCACAGGCTTTTATCAACGAGGAGGATTCAGGCTTATTTTTTTTTTCTTTCTCTCCAAATAACACTCCCACTGTTCAGGCTTAAATACCGAAACCGTATGGTTTGCAGAATCGGTGCCAAAAAGTCAGTCATCAGTGAGACTGCAAAGATAATAACTCCTATTGATCAAATCGGGAGAACAGGGGTTTGCCCTCCGACAGAGGTCGGGGAGATAAGGGCTGGGGTTTTCTAAAACATGCTGATTTGCCTAAATTGGCTAAAAACACATAGAAACACTTATGTTCTGAGAGAATTGGTGACCAATTCAGGAAAACCTCACAAAATCAAAGGATTGGCGTGGATTAGTAAGTCATGTGACATCTAGAGTCTTTCTGAGAGCCTGGCGGATGCATTGTTTTGAGCCTAGACCCTGACATAGCAGCTAACTGTGGTGCAACCACGTAAAGGATGGCTGCTGTGTGCCTCACTGGAGTGTGTCCACATAGGGATAGGCTACAGGCTGCCTCACGGGACATGGGGAAGGCACAAATGATCCTGAGGGTCCTCTCTGTTCTGGGCACCGTGCAGGACTGTTTTGGTCCATTATCTAGTTTAATCCTTACCTCAGTCCTGTGAGGTGACTTTTATTGTCCCCATTTTACAGATGAGAAAATAGAGGTCAAAAGATGGGGAGTAACTTGCTCAGGATCACAAAATTAGTGGCAGAAATTAGTATTTTAATCTAGGTGTGTATTTCCATTAAATATCCTACTGTCTTCCATGGCACATGTTAATTTGCTAATACCACAGTAATTTTACACAAAGACAGGTTGCCAGTCTGGTGTTGAATATACTTGGAGGGGCCGGCCAGTGGCACAGCGGTTAAGTGCATACATTCCACTTTGGTGGCCCGGGGTTCGCTGGTTCGGATCCCGGGTGCGGACATGGCACTGCTTGGTAGGCCATGCTGTGGCAGGCGTCCCACATATAAAGTAGAAGATGGGCATGGATGTTAGCTCAGGGCCAGTCTTCCTCAGCAAAAAGAAGAGGATTGGTGGCAGATGTTAGCTCAGGGCTAATCTTCCTCAAAAAAATAAAAAAATAAAAATAAGTAAATATACTTGGAAATATCTCACCTTTTGCCGTGATGTGGAGGATGGGCGAGGAGCGGAATCCATCAGTGGATATCCCACAGAGCCGAGGCCAGAGGTGACCCGGCATTAGTGGAGCTCAGGTAGAGACGGGCTCCGTTTTTCTCACTGAAAGCTCAGCCTTCCTTTCAGGCAGAAAAAAAGCTTATTAAACATCATTTTTGTGAGGCGGAGTTACTAATATCAAATGTTTCACATAAAATAATCACCCATTCTCTTAAAAAATGTGGCCTTGGGAGATAATATTTTTCAGGGAGATTATTCGTGTTTTATCTGTTTTTATTATCATTTTATCCGAGAAGCTGAACATGTGGTTATCTAAAGAATGGATCTTGAGGCTGAGAACCAAATTCCTCAGAACTACCACAATCACTTCCTGGCTTGTGAATTGAAATGATCTTTGCTGTAGCCCAAGAACCGAGTGGTAATCAGTGTCCAGGGACACAGGGAGGGGGGCCGGTTCCACTGTTGGCGGTGCCAAGAACCTATTCGTTTGTCGTTGCTCCCAAATTATATTCAATCAGCAATTCAAGCTCAGGTTGGGAAAACCAAGTGACATAGAGCTAACTTTCTATAAAATTAATACTGTAAAATGAAACCTGTATTCCTGACAATCTAAGTGTGAGCAGCAGTAAGGTGAAGCTATGAAAATATTGAACGTAAATGCTGCCGAGATCCGCCTTAATCCCGCCTCTCCCCCACCCTGGCTGCCTTGCCTGGAGCGCCATGGCTGCCGCGCTTCCATCCCTGAGCGCCCTGAAGGCTGGGTGGTGGGGTGTTCCTTGGGCCTGCTTACAAGGTGAGCCACAGAAGTCCATAGTACCGCAAACAAGGGGCCGTTATTCACAGGGCCACAGTGGTGGCAGAGCATGGTGTCAGAACAGGGCTGCAGTCGGAGTCATAAGTGGAGGGGCCCGAATTGTAGACAATTAGCTCGTCCTGTCACAGTCACCTGCATGAAAGCCTCATTCCCAGAACAAGGGGTTGATAACAGAGGCACTGCCTTCTACTGTGCTTTGTGTTAAGCATTTTTCCGACTTGGGTAAAGTTTTTTTTTGGTTTCATATTTTGGAATTGTATGTGTTTTAGGATCCCTGCCAACCTGCCCATCTGACTTCAGGTCCCTTTGAAAGAGTCACTGCTGTTTGGGGCTCAGGATGTAGGAGGTGACTGGGGCCATTTGGGGTGGGAGGTTGTGTGTGGTTGGTCTGCGTCCTGTCCTGCCTCTTGGAGGACAGGGAAAGGGGCGAGCCAAGGAGGTCTGCACAAACCAAACAACCTTCCGTCTCTGGCGTGTGCAGCAGGTTGACGGCACACCCAGCAGACGAACTGGAAGTGGGCCTCTGCAGGGTCTCGATGGGTAGACATCCCGTCCTCGACGAGGCTCCCTGACAATGGCGTGTGGCTCCTGTGGCCGTGTGGCAGACAGTCCCCACCCGTAAATAAGGACATGCAGAAAGTGTGCTTGTGGAGGTGAAAGGTGAAGCCGGAGAGAGGGGAGGTGACAAGTCAGGTTTCACAGGCTTGAGTTCTGGGCAGCGTGGGCTGCTAGGCTGTGGGCGACAGACAGAACTGCATTTGAACCCGATTCTCCCACTTACCAAAGTTCACCTTGTGTTCCAACTCGGGTCCCTTCCTAGTGTCTACCTAGACCCCGTGCTGAGAAGACTCTAAGGCGGATCCCAGGTTTAGTAGACAAGAAGGGCCATGACTGCTGAGCGATGTGTGCACCGGGTTGACGGCGGGGAGTTGACAGCACGGGTGCCGTGTGTCTAACCTCTGAGGCTCTGGCCTCTCAACCACCCTGCCCAGCGCTGAAGTTCTGTAACACAGTGAACGTGTGTGTGCGCACGTGTGTAGACATGGCCCAAGGCCAGATTAGTGCCATCTTTTAAACGTGTGCTAGTAGGATAGTGTCATGGCTTAAGTTTTCAAAAACAACAAAAACATCATTTGTATATTACAGTATATTATTAAACGGTTTAAATCTTCCCAGTGTATTATGCCCTATAGATTGTCGATTTGCATGTTTGCCTTACTTTATGGTGGTTTTAAAAAAATTGTATTTTAAGTTTCGTTCCACAAGTGACTCTCCGTCATTTCTCTTGACTTGAAGTTTCAATATAGAGAAGTGGGTTTCTCTCTTACTAGAAATGCTGTCAATTCACAAACTGGGGTGAAATCAGCAGCAGGAGCCGCATTGTTCTTCTTTTTCACAGGAAGGCTGCTGGACGACATTAGTCTAAGACGGGTCTTCTAAGAAGACAAGGAAGAGTTAACGCTTGATAATGTTTGGTGTGCGGTCAGGGCCTTTGGAAATCTCCTGTGATGCTTCTAACAGCCCATAAGCGACTCTATTTAATATTGCGCCTGTCTTTCCCCCCCTCCCTCTTTTTCTTTTCAGAAACGGAGTTGTCAGTCACCGCCGAGTTAGTGCCTACCTCGTCGTGGAACGTTTCGAGTGAGCTCGACAAAGGTACCCAGTGGGGACACGCCGGGGAGGCCGAGGGAGGCATGAGACTCAGTTTTTAATCCTGGCACGGCCTTCTTTGAAATCGACTGCTTCTTACATCTCTAGAAGGAGATGGGGCCAAAATAAATTCCCTGCTTACCTTGTGATCATTTAACATTTAATTACTTGGAATTCTATTATTTCTGGAGAGTTTTTTCCCCTCTCTTTCCTTTCCCTTCTTCTCTAAAATGTTCCACATGGTAAAAACGCTTCAAGATGTGAAGTGGGGTCGTTTCTGACCTTCCTGACACCGCATCTAGTGGATCTTATTTAGGGGATTTGATTCTGCCCGAGCCAGGATTGATCCGAGCTGTTGGCTGGTGACCTCTTGCAGCGAGTATTTGATGTGCTTGCAGGGTTCAGGGCAGGGGGCCGGGAATGTTTGTAATTGCCTGTGCATACAGATGGCAGCTTCCTGTGTGCATGTGGGGCACAGGTTCCTGCCATGAGGTTGCTGTCGTCTTGATTAAGCCCCGCCATGTGCAAGCACTGGCTGCCCCGTGGAGATCCTCTGTCCTAGAGTGGTAAATCAGGACACGCTCAGCCCCTGCGATCGGCTCAGCCTCCCTTTCCAGCCTGATTTCCCTTTGGCCTCCTTTATGTCCCTTTCTGCATCTCCAGCCAAGTTTCCATTTCTTCTCGTAGATCCTGTGCCTTCCTGCCCCTCTGCTGTTGTCTGAGCTCTTCTCCCAGCCCGGATTGCCCTGCCTTCCTTGCCAACACCCATTCTCTCCCTTCTCTAGGGCAACAAATTCCTTCTCCTTCATGTCTGAGCATCAAGTCTATATCAGCCAATCTTGTCTAACCCTTAGGAGGAAGTGGCTTCCTGCTTTGGGACTCTCATAGCCCTTTCTCTGTTCTTCTGTGAGCATGTTCCATGTTAAATCACACCTGTCTATCTCACTTAAACCTGGATGTTCCTTGTAGGTAGCATATCTATCTTGTTCTTTTTTTTTCTTCTGTATCCATCAGAAAGTCTAACCCAGACTCTTGTTCATAGGAAATCCTCAACAAATACGTGTGGAATGACAAGGCACACCACATCTAGGGCCATGTATGAATGGGCCCCATCCACACATATGAGTGCAAATACTCACATTCAACAACTGTGTTGAGTTTCTGCTTTAGTTCAGGCATGATTCTAGGTCCTGGAATTACAGTGATCCAAGGAGCCGGAAAGTCATCGCCAAAATTGTCTTTTATGATCAGCTCTCTTTCGTCTGCTCCTGTATTCACCGGGAGCTGATTTCCTCTCTGGGGGAAGAGAACGTCACGCAGTCCTAGGCAGGGTTCTTGTGCTGCTCATGCTTCCTTAGGCATTGGTGAGTGGCAGGATGGGGTGAGGTGTCTTTTCACCTGAAATCAAAGGACATTTAGGATAATTTTTTTTATTGTCAAATTTGGTTTGGACATTCTTTTTCTAATTAAGGATTAAAGCGAGGACTGCATGTCGTTCCTCTCCATCTCCAGCTCCAAGCACAGTGCCCAGGAGACGATAGATTTTCAACAAATATTTGCCGATTTTTTTTTAATGGAAAAGAAGAAATAAAGTTCAGTAAAAGTTAGCTTAGTGCCTACTCTCTGCCGAGCACTGTACCGGGTGCTTTCAAGTATGTGAATTTAATTGGCAAGCTCCTGATGGTGCCAACAGAAAAATTATCTCCACTGCAAGTTATTGATCAGGTTCCACTTATGACTAAAGAAGGAGATCCGTACGTGGGAAGATGGCAGCACAGCCATCAGTCAGGAGCCTGGCTGGCCAGACGTTGTTTCCTCCAAACCAGCACTGTCATTAGCAGTGGCTGCCCTTCAAGAAGGAAGCGATGCTAATAACAGTGAACCTACTGGCCAAAAGGCTGGACTGAGGCAGGCTCCAGACTCCCTTCTTAGCATGGCCTTCCAGAAAGGATGGATGGCTTTCTAGGGATCCTTGATGTCTTATTTCTCTAAAGATAATTAGTGTATGGTCTTTAATTCCCATTTAGAATGAAAGAGAAAGCTGATTAACTCATTTATTGATCAAATCCTTATTGCTTTTTACTCTGGTCTGGGCGTTGTTTGAAGAATTAGAATTGAAAGATGAATCAGACAGAGGTCTCTGTCCTCCATGAACCCAGAGCCAAGAGGGGAAGACTGATATCTAAATGCATAATCAAAACCTTCTGGTCGATTTGATAGCTTGAGCTATCAAAGGACACTCCCCCCAGTCACAGAGAGATGCTGGTGGAAATATACAACGAGAAAAAGAAAATCCAGTGCCAGGCTGGTACACTAAAAGGAGAAGTCGCCAGGTGCCGGAAATGAACAGAAAGCTCCATGACAGAGCAATGAGCAGTGAGAAGGAGCTGAACAAAAAGTCCTTTGAAAATACGTGGAGTGTGCGTGGTTGTTAGGGCCAGAGTTTCAGTGTCCCATGGGGATGAGGGCTGAGGCCATAGGAAACAAACCCTCTGCACAGGCTGTCAGTGAGGAATGACTGACCTGAGAGTGAAAGAGGGAAAATTCCACTGGGCATCTGGAATGGAACTCTGTCAACCACCCTGGGCCATTGGGATCACCCGTGAGAAATCAAACCCCAGCCTGTGCTGTGTGGGGTGGGGTGCTTCTCGTGTGGTGCACGAGCCACAAGCCAAGAAGATAACATAAAAACTTACTCTGGAATTGATTAAACTGTGAGACCCTGACAGGGGACAATCTAAAACCAGGTCATAAAAATGTCTCAACATCCCAGTGCATGTGGTTCTCCCACCAAAACAAAATTTAAAAAAATCAAAACCACAAAGCAGCAACAGCAGCAAACTCCTGCTGATGTTAAGTTTACTTTTAAATACGATAGTGCATGCAAGAGAGGGGAAAAAGCCACTAGTGGTGAGAGTCAGCAGACAAAATGCATGGAGACATTCACATGTTAGAAACTAAAGACAATAGACCAATTGGAGAGAGTAGTTATGTTTAAAATGTTTCACGGTGAAAGAGAGAATAGAAACTATTGGACAAGTACAGGGTAATAAGATTAAACAGTAGACATTTAAAAAAAACTAAATGGAAATTCTAGAATTGAAAAACAGAGTTATAGAAAATAAAAATTCATCAAATGGTTTAAATAGTGGCTACGCTGAGGCGAAGAGAGAAATGGTAAGTGGAAGATGATCTGAGGTGATATGGTGGTTAAGAAAATGGACGCGGAGCCAAGGGGACTGAGTTTGAATCCTGAACCCACTACTTCAGACTTTGTGACTTTGGGTAAGCCACTCAGCCCACGTGTGCTTTGCTCTTTCCATTGGTAAGATGAGATAATAAATGTACCTACCTCATATGGTTGGTGTGAAAATGGATCTGGCTAGCAAGTCTGATAAACTAATCAGAGAGTAAGAAGTCACAGCGGTTTTTGGTTAATATGGTTGTGACTTTTTTGCTTGATAGTAAAATCATCATGGGTACTTGGGCAGGCTGGAAGGAGAGCATATTTTAGGGTTGGAATAGAGATTTCAGATCCTGTTAAATCAGCCTGTGTCAGCAGCAGCCCGCTCTGGCCTTCCACACCCAGGGTCCCCACACAAGCGCCATCCGTCTTAGTTTGATAAACAAGGTTCTCCGTGGTCTTACCCCTGCACCCATACTTTGTACTCCATTTGTTTCCACAACCTGCCCCTAATTCCCTAGATACATCCTCTTTCTTCCAGTCTCTCTGCCTTTGTTCATGCACTGTCTGTCCTCTGATTGGATTGTCCTGAGCCCCGTTCCTCACCTGGCTGACGCCTTTACTTAAGCATCACCGTGAACCCTCCCCCACCCCCTCTTTCCCCACAGTGCTCCCAATGGGCCGAGAGCTGAGTAAGACAAGCAATATCCCTGCTTTGGTGGACCTTGCGTTCTAGAGGGAGAGAGAGACAAGTAATGAATCCTTTCATCAATCCCATTGACCATACCCCAAAATATTTCATATGTGAGGTACCATACCACCCCATGTCTATCTTGATCAGAACACTTACCAGGCTGTATTGAAATTATCTCTTTATCTATTTGCCTGCCTCTTTAAAGTCGGGGTTCTCTTCTCTTTTGGCACGCTCTCACAGCCCAACAATGCCTGAGTGTAGTAGAAACCATGACGTTAAGTCGTATGGGCTCTAACGCCATCCATGCCAATTCATAGCTGCTGCGTGTGAATACCTACTGGGGTGAGGCTCTTGCTAAGCATGCTGCATGCATCCGTGAATTCTCACCACCCTGTGTGGTAGAGCAGATGGGCACTTGAGGCTAATGAGGGTTAAAAGATTTGGCTGAGGGGCACCGCTGGTGAGTGGCAGTGCCAGGATTCCTATCGGGTACTCCGGGCCAAGTTCAGGGATCCAGCATGTCCAACATGGCGGCCGAGGACAGTCTCCCTGGTGCTCCTATCCGTCCTCCCGTGGGCAAGTCCCCTCCCGTGGAGAAGCAGTAAAGTAACATCCACCACTGGCGTGCTTCGGGGCCTTTCTCTTCACCCAGCTGCTCTGTCCCACCCTCAGTCCCACCAGGGCTCCCCAGCCTCACTCAGGTCCTGTATTTCTGTGAAACGAGTCTAGTCGGTGGCAATAAACAGCTACCTGTTTATCCTTTCCAACAGGAAATGAAGTTTAGAAAGAGACAAGGCCACCCGGGAAGAGCTGTTGAAAGCTCCCATTGATGGGGCATGGCGGTGATTTCTGAGACAAATGCTTCAGGACTAAGTACCTCCCAAAATAAATGCATCTACAGGGGCCCAACCTCAGCTGCCCGGGAGGGTTTGGGGTGGGGCGTGATGAGGGCCTCTTTCCCCTTCTTCCATTTTCCGTCGCATGAGGTCTCAGAGGTTCTCTATAGAAAGCCAAATGTTTCTTTTGGAGAAAGGACTGGAAATTGCACCCGTAGGTAGCAGAAAAGGAGGGAACTGACTACTTAAAAAAATACCGAGGGCTGCTTCCCACTGCAAATAGTTCCCTGCG